CACATCATACTAAATATGTAAGGTCATATCTACATGGGTTTGATTACAGAAACTGATAAAGTATTCTTTAAATAATGAAAAAAAAGAATAAGATAAGACTATAAGAGCAAGCCAGGGATTTGGCTCAGTGGTTCCGCCGCCTGCCTTGCAAGTGCAAGGGCCTGAGTTCAATCCCCGGTACCAAAAAAAAGACTATAAGAGCGAAAAGCAATTTAAATATGTTCAGGGACCATTTTCATCTCCAGAATTAAGGATTATTTTAATGCTACATCATTGCCTTTTCTCTTTTACTTTCCTTTTTAGTTTTATTTTAGGATTCCCTATTTTTAATGTTCATACAGAGATTTCTTTAACTGAAATACCGAATAGTTTCTTTGGTGTGAAAAACTATAATAGTACACAGGATCCTAATGAGATAATTAATAATGTGAAATAGGAAGTAAAGGGCTAAAGGTGTAGGGAAAGTGGGAAGGGTGGGGGAAAGGTAATAAGGGAGAGGAAAAAATATGAGAAACTGAAAAATGGAAATAAAATGTTTGTAAATGGGGAGGGGAGGAGGGGGTGAAGGAAGGGCAGGGACAAGGGGAAAAATGAGAATCAAGACCTATTATGTTAAGGTGCAGGATCCCAATAATGAATGTAACTGTATTGTATACCTAGATTGTACCAATAAACTAAATTAAAAAAAAAAACTCAATTGGGAATAGTAAACAATAGGAAAAGCAAATGAAAGTAAAGGAATGGGGAAGTAAATATATTACATCAGAACAAATGTCCAACTGGTAAAATATCAACACAAAGTTTTCAACTATATTATATTATCATAACTACATACAAGTATATGTTAACATTAAGTGGAAAAGCAGCATACAGAAGGTAGATGTAGAATTTCAACTATAAGACTAGAGATGAAAAAGCCAGGCCTGGTAGCGCATGCCTGTCATCCCAGAGCTCGGGAAGCTAAGGCAGGAAGATTGCTGCCAGTTCGAGACCAGTCTGAGTTACACAGTCAGTTCAAGACCAGCATGAACTACACAGTGAGACCGTATCTCAAAGAGAGAGAGAGAGACAGAGAGAGAGAGAGAGAGAGAGAGATGAGAAAGGAAATTGGTAATAATATTTGTATTTTAGACTCAGAAAGTTATCTTTCCCTTTTTGTAATAGCTTTATATCTTACCTTTATTACATTTACGGTAAGCTTATGTTGTATTACAAGCATTTAGTAAAAATTGTGTCCCTCAGGGGTACTCCCAGCCCTTTTCAAACTTTTGACTCTGACAATTAGATTGCAAACGGAGAAAGTCCACCTACAAAGAGAATTCTCTTACAACTTTCTTAGAAAGGAGATCAGTCATGATGGAAATACTCACATTAGGTGAGGTTGTTGTGGAAATAGTTTAGAATCCATTAAACCTGTTCTGTAATTATTTCTACAATAGTGTCTGGAGAAATCACTTGATGTTTCCAGTGTGAGATCAGAGGGTTCAAGTGAATGATTTTTGCCTTGTAGACTACTCCTCTTTCTTTCCATTTTATTACTTGTTTATTATCTATAGTTAATACACTTCTGAGACCATAGGTTTTAGAACAGACAGATATTAATTTCTGGATGCTCTAAACAAAAAACACTTAGCAATCTGAGACCATGGGTACAGATAACAATACCTGAATGCTTTAACCAAAAAAAAAAAAAAAACTTAGCAATTTAACTGTGTCAGCTACATAAAATGATCATTCTTACCCTGGAAAGGTAGAAAAATTGGAAGATCTGCAAGTTTTTTGAACAAGGAAGTAATATAAAGAAGCAGCTGCTGAAAAAATATCAGCTCTGTGTGTACTTGAATAGGGTACAGAGAGGGATAAATAAAGCATGTCCTGCTTGTTTTCATCTTCTTAGATATGCTTTCTCCAATTGTAACCTGCATGGACCCGAGTATTACAGAGAATGATAGTGTACTTGGGGTTTTGCAGGTGTTCATCACTAATGGCTGGTTGAGTGATGTTGTGATTGTAGTCGCGGTTACACATCGTGAAGCTCGATCACCTGCACATGGCATTAGCCTTTTTCTGGTGGAAAATGGAATGAAAGGATTTATCAAGGGTCGGAAGCTACATAAAATGGGATTAAAAGCCCAGGTAAGTCATAATATAAGTCATATTCAGGTAATAATTGTTACTATCAAATCAGAGAAAAGTCAATGTAGAGAATTACATGTGGCACAATCATACCTTCTTCCTGCACTGAATTCAAAGAATAAGGGTTTCAGAAAAATTTATTAGTCATGCTGCTGTATCTCTGGTAGTCAGCAAAAGATAAGGATCGCGTTATTTTTAAAGATCTGTTTTAGAAATGGCAAACTTGACTGTACAATATTAAGCTGTCTTTTTGTAATGTATTGAAGAAAATTATGAATTAACAGAAATATGTTTTTATGTATTACCAAAACAAGATTTCCTGAATGTGTATTAGAAATTCTTACTCTCCAGAGAACTGGGCAGTACTGGAGCTTGAATAACAGCATACTGCAGTGGGAAAATCACAAGTTTGGGAATCACATGGACCTGGTTTGACTCCTTGACTTACCATTTACTTTTTGTGTTCACTGATTACTCCAACATGGCTTCTAGTTTGTTCCTTTTAAAAAATCTTGAATGGAATTAATAACATGGGGTTATTGAAAAACTTGAACGAGCTCATGTTCTCTTAGGATACTGCAGAACTATTCTTTGAAGATGTCCGATTGCCAGCTAGTGCCTTGCTTGGAGAAGAGAATAAAGGTTTCTATTACCTCATGCAAGAGCTTCCACAGGTCAGAAATTAAAGATGCTATTTTTAATAATATAATGGGCTAGAGTAGAGTAATATAGGACCATATATAAAGTATGATTGAAAAACATAGTGAATGTTTAAAATTTTTTAAATGCACTACAGTAAAAGGCATATTGCTATTCATCTCCCTCAGTATATCCCCTACCCCATGCTTTGAATATGCTTATGCCTTTCTTTGGTCACTTTCTGAAGTATTCTGAAAGTCCTTTTTGTGAGTGTCTTTAGTTGCATTATCAAGGCTGCCTCAATATTCTGATTTACTTTTCATGATCATTTTGACTTTGGGAAAGATCCAGAAGGCACATGATGGGTAAAATCTGGTGAATGAGGATGCAATACAATATTTTAAGGGCCTGCCTTTCTGTTGGGTAACACACAGAAGCAACATTAACCACATTTTTTTATCCACCTTGCACACCTTAGAAAAATATGAAAAAGTATTTCCATAACTGCTTCAAAATGTGGCAAGAACAATGGCATAAGTATGTGGGAAGGGTGTTGAGGGGAATTAATAGCAGCATGCCTTTTATTACTGTAATAACTTTTCAATTTAAACACACACTGTATTTTTTTATTAGCCCTTGTGAATCCATGCATGCCAAACTGAACACAGGAATATCTAACTAAAACTTATAAAATGACTAGGAAAAATAGATTTTCTTCACTTCTGTGATTCCTTCTTGGAATGATTTCAGCCTAATAACTAGAAGTTAAGAACTTTTAGCTCTTTGTAAGGAAATATCATTGAAAACACCTGGCAATTTTTGAATAACTATAAATCAAAGGAGAAAATGTGTTAAGTTCAAACTGAAAACTTTTAGTGTAAAAGCTAGGTTCTATTCTGTTTTTCAAATATGGCTGCCTAGTGATCATTGGACTTTATATGTCAGTATAAGGGGATACATTTATGACATCCATGGCATACACTAAAACTGAAATTGGGAAAAAGAGCTAGGAACTGTGCATTCAAATAGTGTGAAATGCTGTGAAAATCACTGGCATGATAGATTTAATCTAAGGCTACTTTTGCACTAGTAGACAGAATTTAGCCTATAGTCTGGAAGATATTTATTTGTACAGATACATTGTTATATAGTACAGAGATCAATAAATAAAAATGGATTATTTTACTAATACATGAGTAGAAAGAAGAGAAAGCTATGTAGATTACATATAGTAATGACAATCTTTCATAAAAATAAAGAATTTTTTAGAGACTTATTTTAGGTAGGTCAAAATCTCAAATCTTTGTGGAGCACTTTATTATTAAGAGTTAAATTAATCTTTAGGAGTTCATTATAAAGATTATAGGATTTATTAGAATTGAAATTTTGTGAAAATCATTTGTGTAATTAGAATAATGTTTAAGACTTAATTTTTGGGTTATAGGAAAGGTTGTTAATTGCTGATTTGGCAATTTCTGCCTGTGAATTCATGTTTGAAGAAACCAGGAATTATGTTAAGCAAAGAAAAGCTTTTGGGAAAACAGTTGCACACATACAGGTAAGCCTGTTGTTATGGTTTGGTACTGAATGGTCACAGTTTAGTCATCTGAAATGGATCTAGGGTAAATGTAAATTTGGTGTAATTTTGATATGTAGTATCCATGAATGAGATGCTTAAGGGAAAGACAATGAAAAATAAAATTAGAGACCCTAGAACAGAGTCCCATGGAGAATTTCTACAAGATCTGAAGATGGAATAGGAAAGAAAGAGAATGCAGAGATGACTGAATTAGAAAGGAGAAAGCAAAGCAGGAGAGTATTGTAAAAGCCAAAAGGAAAGAAGGAGGGAGTTGGATCAAATAGGAGAGAATGGGATCAAGTTGTACTTGGAGAAAAAACAGATCAAAGCACACTCACTGGACATAATGATGTAGTGTTTGGTAAGAGCTGTTAAGGCTGATGTGGAGCGACAGGCCAAAGTCTGTGAGAGTTGTCAGTGGAAATAAGGAAGTAAAGCTAATAAAGACAAACAACTCTTTTATGATTTAGTCTGTGAATGATAGTTGAGAATAAAGATGATAATGAAGGAGAGGAAGGGAGAGTAGAGGTTGTCGGAGTCAAAGGAGATACCGAGGTTATTTTTTTGTTTTTACATTTCATGGGAGTATTGGAGTATACTTTAATACTTAAGGGATTTAGTAGAGAGAAACATTGTGGCTATGGAGGTAATAATCATTTGCTTTGGTTCTTTGATGGGTAGCTCTGTTGGTCACAATTAGTAAAAGTTTTCTTGTCAAAAAACTTTCATTTCCTTAAATATCAATAGAGAGTCAGTTCTTGAAAAAATAAGAGGCATGGAGGTATCTGAGGAGACTGAGGAAGGTTTGAAATGGCCTTTTTAGAGTGAGAGACTCAACTAACTAGAGAAACACCATCACCCTGCTGGCACTGTTGAGAGCCCTTGTAAGAATAGGGATCATGAAGGCCGGGGATGTAGCTCAGTGATTCAGTGGCCTGCCTTGCAAGCGTAAGGACCTGAGTTCAATCTCCGGTACAAAAAAAAAAAAAAAAAAACAACAGAATAGGGATTATGAGTTTACATTTTATCTTTTACATTTTGTGTGTTAGCATTACTAGTACATGGCCTGTATAAATAGAGAAAATAAATGGATGGTTGTGTTTATTTTAGGTTGGGTTTCCAGGAAGTTTAAGGTATTTGCAAAAGAACTCAGTGTGCAGTGATCACAACCACTGTAGTGGTTGGTAGTGTTTCAAGACTAGCATTATACAAATTACATTCAAGTGTAGTTTAAATCCTCGCTCAGCTCCTGAAATTTCTCTAGTCCAGGCCAGTTATCTTAGAAATATTTTCCTGTTTGTAAGATTTTTAAAATTTACTTGCTATGTAAAATTGTATTCCTGAATAATAGCAGTAGCTACCTCGTAAGATTACTGTGGGGAACTTGAGGGATAATGGTGCAGTGCTTAGAATATTGCCTAGTAAAATAAGCCCAAGGGCCAGGGATATAGCTCAGTGACACCATGCCTGATCCCCACACCAAAAAAAGATAAACAGATTTAAAATAAGCCCTCATTACAGTTACCTGTTATTTTTTTCCCTTATATAATGCCCTGCTCCATTTTTTTCCAATGGGGGGGCTTTTTATCAATTTCTTGCTCTTACTCCTGATGTGGGCCTTCTCTTCTGTCTTTTTGGAAACTCCTTACTACCCATATCTTCAAGTTAACTTTCCATTCTGAAAAAATGTCTTTACACATATGCCAAACCAGAACAGTTGTTTCACATTTGTCAAAATGAGGTATGTACTCAGGCAAAGGATATAGTTTAACAAGCAAGCCAGGCGTGATAGAACATGACTGTACTCCAAGCATTCTGGAAGCCTGAAGCAGGAGAATCTGAAGTTCTGCTTAACCTGGGTAACTTAACAACTTAGGCTATGTCTCAACATTTAAACTAGGAAGAGGGCTGGGGATATAGCTCAATGCAAATGCCCTGGGTTTAATTCCCAGTGGGAGGGAGGGTGGGAGGGAGAAGAGAAGGAAGCGAAGGGAATGGAAGAGAAGGGACAGGACAGGACGGGAGAGGGACAGGGACTTGGCTAAACTGGTGTTCTTAAGAATGGGATGAGATACTGTGTATTTCCTTTTATTTATGAATCGTGGTTAGCAGGTCTCAATGCCTGCCCTCTCCCCCTAGATATCCAGAAATGTTAGAGATGGGACAGTGGGCAGTAACTGGAAGTGTACCTTGTGTTTAGGGCAGTGGAGGAGAATGTTGTTAAATATCTTGTAATTCAGAGATACACTAATACCTGTAGTCTCCTGTTGAGAAATACTGACATACATGACTTTCTCGTTTTGTTTCACTGAGCACTTATTTATTAGTTGCCTTCTGACATTGTGTTTAGTAGTAGTTTGATAGGTGTGACTCAGGAAATACACATGGAAGTCTCTAGCTCCTGGCAGTGTAAGGGAAGTTACACCACTGGGTATCACTCTACAACTGTCTCATCTGTGGCATCAGTAATATTTGCCTCTGATATTCAACCACTGCCATTTTCAAATCAAAAATGTTCATTAAGACATTTTTCAAAATAAGGCTACTGGTGGGGATTTAGCTCAGTGATTCTGCCACCTGCCTCGTAAGCACAAGGTTCCAAGTTCGAAACCCGGTAAAAAACAAAACAAAACAAAAAAATAAGGCTGTAGAGCTTATTCTGTAAAAAAAACTCAACCATCTGGACATAATTTCCATCCCTTTGGAAAGTACATTTCCTCTGTTTATAGGTTTCATGATACATTATAGCAAAGATGACTATAGTATTATGCAGGTTGTCTGAATAGCTCGGAAAGCATGTGATTTGCCATCCAACCATGAAGGAAATAGGAGGTTGATCTATATGTATTATTTTCTCTTAAAAGAAAAGGATTCTTTGAAAATACAGTCGTGTATAGCATGTTTCTGTCAATGACAATGCATGTGTGACCTACCGACATATCCATCACAAAATGGTAGTGGTAGCTCAGTGAATTACTGGTGTGTTTGTGAAAATGCTGGTGTAATAAACCATCAGCAATATAAAAATATGATTTTGTACAGTGCATTATGATTATGTACCGTGCATAATACTTGATAAGAAATAACTATACTAGTTTATATAATTCATTATACTGTATTTTGCCATTAGAATACATTCCTACTTATTGTACTTATTCCTACTTACTGTAAAATAATATGCTGCCTTAGGCCAATAGTAGCTTCATAATCTTGTGATTCCTAAGTCTCTTGATTGCAACAAGAGGTACAGCAATTGACCTGTACCATCTGGATTTATGTTAAGTACACGTCATAGTTGTCACACAAATTGTCTAATGGCATATTTCTTAGAATGTATGGTTACAATTAAGCAATACATGGTTGTGTCTATTTATTGTAGTTTCATAGCACAAAAAATAGTTTTAATCCTGTTTTTTTTTTTCCTAATTGAGTTTATTGGTACATTTTAGGTATACAGTGCAGTTACATTCATCATTGGGATCTTGTACCTTTACATGACAGGTCTTGCTTCTCATTTTTCCCCTTATCCCTGCCTTCCCCTTCACCCCCCCGTTGCCTATTTACAAACACTTTATTTCCATTTTTTCATTTTCTCTTTTTTTTTTCTTTTCCCTTATTACCTTTTTAAAGCAAGTATCATTTTATTGTTACCATCCTGCAAAAGCACTTCACTAAATTTTCAGTAGAGGGCAGTAGCAATTTGCTCCCACAGGTTCATTTTTGAGTAGTAGTAGTAGTAGTTTTCAAGTCATTTTTCAAGTTTTTAAATATGTACTGAAGTTTCTGAGCTGTTCTTCTGATTTTTGTTTTATTAAGTAAGTGTCTGAATACAATGCTCATATTTCAAGTTAATATATGTAGAGGTGATGAATTATTAACATGCTTATAAATCTCTTCTAGAACTGGATATACTATGGTTCTACTTATTCAACTGAAAAAGACCTGTGTCAGTCACAGTTTACTTGGCTTAATATCAGTTTATGACTATGTAGCTCTTCGGTATCTTTTCTATAGGTTCTTGAATTTTGAATATTTTGGGTCTTTCTGAACATTTGGATATATGTCACAAAATTTACACATTTCCTTTTTTGAATAGAGAGAACTATCATACCAAAATAGCAATAGTACAGATTTTAATTTTCTTTATAATGATGTGATATTACAGCTCATAATTTTCCCCAGAATAGACAATAAGACATTAACATTTTTAATAAAATATCATTTATTGACTTCTCTGTACATGCCAGGCACTGTGCTAAATGAGATCTTTTTTTTTTCCTTCACGAATACGTAGAATAAGTATAATTATCTTCATTTTACAGATAAGGCAGGTGAGGCAGAGAAAGTTTAAATAATTTGCCCAAAATTATACAGCTATTCTAATTCCAGAACCTATGTTCTTAACCACACAGATTTTACTGCCCGGAAGTTTAAGTGGATGGCCTATTTTCTTTCTGTATATTCTTTCACTTAATGGGCAATGAAATAAAAATGGAATGTACTTTTCTAAGTCGAGCTCTTGATTAGTCATTTCCTATATGATAGATGCTCTTCTAAGGGCACAGAGGACTAGGGAAAGGGATGGGTGGAGTGGCAGGTAACACTTTTCCCTTCTGTGCCTCTAGAAAGAATATCTGTTTCTTAATTAACTATAAGGTTAGGTAATAAACCTAATTCATTTTATTTTACATCATAACTCATATAATAATATAGCAAATGGTGGTTTAAAAGACTACTGGACAAGGTGACCTCTCCCATGTTCCTTCCAGTTCTAAGTATCTGATAGAGACTATCTAATCTAATCTGCTTATTAACTTAAAGAGAATTTTTTAAATGCCAGCTGCACTATTACCTGTTAGCATTTTTTTTTTTTTTTTTTTT